TCTGACTTTTTTCTCATATTATACAGAAATAAAATTAAAAAATCAGTTAACTTTTTTTTTTTTTTTTTCCAGGGGCCCCAATCCCCTTCCGGAGGGACGCATACAAATCCAAAAGAAAAATAGAAGCAATCCAAAAGATAGAGAATATTATGCATTTATTAAACTGCCTCTGATCATAGGAAGTAAATCATCTTCAAGTTTTAATGAACCAACAGCCCATTTTCCACATATTTTACCTACATTTCAGTGTTTTCCTATACAGTTAGTTTAGGATCATGCCAGATAATCTCACTACAATTTAAATCCAGATTTTGTTTATGCTAGTTGACAACCTTAATTTTGTCTTATCTATTTTTACCATTTATGAAAGGATTTTCTGGTAAGGACTTCATGATTAAAACTAACACAGCAGTAGTTTTATCATAATTCTTGTAACTCTTCCAGCAAACCAAAGCAATACCACCACCTAGTTTGACTGTTGATTACATGTTTTTTTTCTAAAATGCTATGTTAGTGTTGATACAATATGACAGCCAATTCCTTGACTACACAAATAAAATATTAAACATCTAAATAATTAATTTTGTGCTCTTTTTTAAGTGTTTCAAAATCAGTATATTTCATTTGCTACATATAATCATGGCAACTTTCAGTATAGCACATGTAACATCTTCTAATTTCTGATTGGCTGATAACACCAGCAGTTCAAAAGCAGAACAAACACCTACATTTAAAGATATTTTTCCTGGCCAACTGATATTGATTAGTAGATTCTGATGGTTGAATAAAGAAGTTTCAAAGCTGGACTATGGAATAGATCAATACAAAAAAAAAAAAAAAACTGGAGACATCCCTACTGTTTCTTAACAACAATGTGAGGCCCACATAGCAATGAGGGGAGCGCTATGAGTTGTCAGCCATCCCTAATAACTATTTTAAATTGTAGCACTTTTAGCCACTAAATGTATTAGGGCTTAAATAAATTTATTTATAAGGTAGAAGTGCAGCCAAATGCTAAAGATACATTTTCATTCTAATGAGTAAAATACACATCCGGTCATTATTCTCAATATTCTTGTCCCCTACACCAATTTATTTCAAATTATCTATTAATGTGACAATTTATGAATACTTGTATAACATATTATATATCTATCCTTTTATTGATAATACCCTGTGCAGTAGAGTTAACCTATAAAATATAAGATTAACCAGAGCATATCATAGACATAAACAAATATTAAAAAAACATGCACAGCAGATATTTGAATAACTCTCTGCCATTATATTTTCCATTCAGTTATGCAATAGCTACACAATGATAGGCAATTTTCAGTAAAAAAAACAAAAAAAACAAATATAATTTAAATGGAACAAACTAGAAATGCTCATTTATTTTCTAATCATTATGCTTAAAATGTTTTCAAAAGTTTGATATAGATAAACTGATAAATACTTCACTGCTACTGTGATTGATTTCTGAAATGTATGCATTTAGTAGCTCCAAGAAATTTAAGAATGAATTCTACAAATACAACCATCAAAACAAATGAAACATTGGTCAACTATATTGTAATCAATTACCGTTTACAAGAGAGTAGACCAACAAGAAAAAGACAACTATTTGAAACTAAGAACGTCAAAAGCTGCGGATCAATACATTTTATTACAGCTTGGATAGTTCATAGGTTTTAACAAACCCACATATTTTTTTTTTTAATTTTAATCACAGAATTTGAGGAATAAAATCTAGAAGCGCTGTTAAAAGAAACTATCGGATTGCACTTCAAGTTGCTCTCCAAAGCTTTCCCACTTAAATCATTTTAAACAACATTCAAACATCATTTAACTTCTTTATACATTAGCACCAAATTTACATGAATCTCACTCCTATAGCTCACTGCAACATCTTATACATAGGTTAAATACATTTGCAAAATTGTATTCTTTTTTTTGTCAACCAAAATAACATCACAAAAAAATATGGTATGTGGAAAAAAACAAAGTACCGAAACAAACCTAAAATGACTGATGTCAGCAAGATATAATCACTTTCTATCTAAGCATAGGTCACTTGTTAAATCCACAGTGCAGCAAGCAGCTCTACCTTTTTATTTTGCAATTACAAAATTGGATTAATTAGGATTATTGCACACAAGCTCTATCTATTAAAAGCAGCACTGATTTTCAAATAGTAAAACTACAGCGATTCACATTCAAATGCAGGATTCAAGTAGCATCATAAACATCAAGCAAAAAAACAAACCAAACCAAAAAGAGTAATACCTCAGTGCTTGCTGTAAAAAACTACTTTTTTAACCAAATACATTAGCTCACATATGGCACTCAGACTTTTTATAACAGCAAAGATGTCATTTCTGTAAACAGAAACTGTGTTCATGGTTAAATGTAAGTATGTAAAATAAAATATTACCACAAATCAATTTGTAACTTATTGGCCAAAATATGATTTTTCACACTAACATATTACTTCATAGAAGTAACGTAAATACAACGGCAAATATTGCAGATTTTTCAGATGCAATGACTAATTTTATGTGTATAGCAGATAAACTGCTTCACTGTATTCTTGCTTGAAATGAGACTTTATTCAGCAAAGTTATAGAAATATTCTTAGAACAACAAATAATCTGGATTTGAAAGAAAAAACAATTAAAAAGTACAATTTCTTTCTCAGATATCCTAAAATATGGCTTAGAGGCAACATATTTTCAATTTTGAATGCCAAACTACCTTCAGAAACTTTTTTTATGCATAATTAACATCACCTAAAATACCTAAATAGTTATTTAATTATTATTGAACTACAATATGAATTGAAAGCTCTAGAATAACTGATAGTTTCCTTTGATATCCTGATTGTGAATCAATGATAAGTGCAAAACGAAAGCCCAATTTAGAAAGAAAATGTCACAGTCCATCACGTCAGTGTTTAAGACCAGTGAACAACTTCACCACCAGGAAAAGCAACTCTTCATTTGAGCCTTTGAGTCACGTTGGCCAAGGCAACAGCAAAAGCCTGTACGGCTGAGAAAGGGTACTGAAAGTCCAGGATATAAGCGTTCCCATCTATTCGCCCAAACTGCATCACCTTAAACAAAGCAGAAAATCAAAACAAGGCATCAGTGATTTCCTATTGCCTCATATGCAATTTGGTTACCAATATAACTTATGCGTGATTGCTTTTCCTCTTACCTGTCTACCATCCAGCTCAATCTGAAAATTTTTTGCTGACTCTTGAGTGACTCTGCCCCCAAAGTCAAGCTGATAAACCTGGGTAGCCTCATTCCAAAGTGGCTGCTTATTGGCCATGACGTAGACAAACCCTTGGCTGCCTAAACTACGGTCCTCTCTCTCGTTTGCCTTGCGGCATTTGATCTCTTCCAGCTCACTCGCCAAACGCATGCTCCTCTTGTTCTTCCAGCTCTTTTTACTACTCTGGTTCTGGTTCATGAGCTCATCACCACTAATAAACAGCTCCGGTTCACTTTCTGAGCTGTCCTGGAACTCGTTTGTTGTCCTGTTCATTTTTTTCGTCTTATTGAGTTGCTCTCGCTGTCCCTTTGGCTTCTTCTTCTCTCTGCTGCTGAGCCTTGGACTGGATATGAGAGTGTTGAAGTCAGAGAGTGCCCGCCCCTCTTTTCTCGATCTTCCCTCAGAGACTGTGGGTACGTTGCCCTCCTCAGCTCTGCTGTCAAGTCTTTTGCGACTTTTTTTACCGAAACGCTCGGATTCCTGAGGGACCGGACTTTCATTCAGAGATGATGGCTCTGGAAAATTGTTTGCAGACTCTGCTTGATCTTCTGTGGAACTTTTAGATGGGAGTAACTCAGTGGGAGGAGGGGGAGGTGGTAGCGGAGGTGGTGGAGGTGGAGCTGTAGGTGGAGGGGGGGAGAGTAGTGGTTTTTCTAAAATCTGATGAGTTTTGGTTGGCAGCGGAGGAGGTGGAGGATCTTGCATTGGTGGTGGACAAGGGTACGGGTTCCAAGGATGTAGACTGACAGGGTGGAGCTGAAGTCCAGCACATGAGCTAGCTCCAGGGTACAGTGGAGGGAGAGGGCAGCAAGCCAAATTAGCCAAGTTTGGGGGATAGCCTGGTGGTAGGACCAAACTCGGATCCTGTTGAGCAAATGATACTGAAGTGACGACCTCATTAGGGGAGCACTGTGGCGGAGGGTTCTGTAGGGTCTGGAGTGAGGGTCCACTATGAGCCACCCCTGGCGGGAAAGGGGAGAGGGATATCTGGTAACCTGATGGGAAGGTAAGGGTGCTTGTGTTCAGACTAGTTGGAGGTTTTGTTGTGAGGACAAAAGGAAGCCGAGTCACATCCAAGTGTTGAGCTTGACTGATAATGAGAGGGGGTGGTTTAGGATTTCCTGATGGTTGCGCTATCATTGTCTGCTCTGGAGTTAGCCAGAAGTCCTCTGTGGTAGTGGTATCCCACTGGTAAGGTGGAGGGCGTTTGACCGTCAAACTGCCATCTCCCAAATTCAACTGACGAACAGATTTTTCCAGTTGACACTGTTGATTTAAAGTCTCGTCTTCTGTAAAGGCAGAGTTCACGTATACAGTCCTGTCCCGGTTGTTATCTACAGCTCCCAGCAGACTGTAAGACGACTGAGATGCCAGCGGCGAGGCACTTTTGGAGTGCACTATAATGGTGCTGTGATGAGCCCCTTTGCCTGGTGGGAAATCCTGCCTGACAACCGTGCCACCTGCAATGCCGCTACTTGTAGTTCCCCCTCCACTTACACTGACACTGGTACTACTGCTGTTACTGCTGCACTGTGTGCAAGTATACAGTGCAGTGGGGACCCTCTGCTGGTAGGAAAGTGATAAAGCAGTATTCATTTTAGCCTTAGTGGGCAGCGTTCTAGAGCTGTCCATCATTTGTGGCACTTTGAGTCCCACATCCCTGCCCTCACGGCGTAAAGTGGCATGAATTAGACTGCTGTCAATTCTTTGAGGAGGTGGGAGAGTAGCAGTTACCTGATTGGCTGGATCAGGATAAGGAGGAGGATCTCCACTTGGTATAGAATATCGAGGGACAGACAAGCGACTTAATGTTGCTGAGCTGTACGGAAGCTGAATTTTTTTATTCTCAGTGGAGGTCACTTTGAGAGTCGCTGAACCTCCAACACCGTGAACAGAGTATGCATTCTGGTTACGAATGAGGCGTCTACGTGGGCGACACACTTCCTCCACATTGCCACTGCTATCAAAGGTTGTGATCCTTTCATATCCTAGAGGTGTTGGGTATTGTAGAGTGACAGGGTGAAGCAAAAATTCCTCTTTCTTGAGGCAGGAGTCAGGAGCCAGGACACTTGGACTGTCACAGTTTGTAATGAATGTCTGAGGAGTGGTAGCCGCTGTTGATGCTGCAGCAGACACTACTGTCCCTGGGTATGGTGGAGGGGGATTTACCTTCCTCATCTGGATTTCCACCGATCCATCTGTGTCACTGAAGGATGGGGGTAAAGTCCTTGGAAGACTTGGCTTCAGCGTGTGGGTGTAGTCCACCCTGTCTAGCACAGGCTCAGCTGTGAGCGTAGGGATTGAAGGAAGAAGATGGATCTGTTGCAGGGATATGGTCGGATAGCCAGTAGGGGCTGGTGGCAATGACATTTGCATCTTCAGCTGCTGCTGCATTTGTTGGTGTTGTCTCTGCATTTGCTGATGTTGCTGCTGAATCTGCTGATGCTGCTGCTGCAGCTGCTGCTGCTGTTGCCTCATCTCCTGAATCTGTTGCCGGATCTGCTGCTGCTGCTGTTGCATCTGCTGCTGCTGTTGCTGCATCTGTTCATGCTGTAGCTGCATCTGCTGCTGCTGCTGCTGGATCTGCTGCTGTTGAAGCTGATTTGCCGCCCGTTGTTGGGTCTGTTGCATTTGTTGGTGTTGTTGAGCCTGATGTTGATGATGTTGCTGCTGTTGATGTAAAGTATGGGGGTGGTGCAGCTGCTGCTGCTGCTGCTGTTGATGTTGTTGCAGCTGCTGTTGTGACTGAGACTGATGGTGGTGTTGCTGCTGTTGCAGTTGATGATGATGCATTTTCTGCTGCTGCTGTGTTTGCATTGTATGGGACTGTTTGGATGGCGGCTGGCGAGGTTGCTGTGAGTGAGACCTCTGTGTGTGAGGCTGTGGGGGGAGATGGTGAGGTGGTGGTGGGGGAGGCAAAGTGCCAGGGAGAAGAGAACTCATCTCTAACCCACTGAAAATCCCCTGGCTAGGATTTGAGTATCTATTTGGCACAGGGTATGGTGAAGCAACAGCATCTTGACTATGCTCTGTAACAGGGACTGAGGCTGCTGCCACTGCAGCTGTGGCCGTCGGATTGGTTAATACGTCAAGCTGAATATTCTGATTGGCCAGGAGAGACTGAACCAGACCAATACTCTGAGTTGGAGACATGGCTTGAGCAGGACTATGGATGGGAGCTATTGGAATATTGACGGTACAGGGTGGGTTGTCTCCTGCAACTCCAGATGGCCCCATCACTTAAAGAAAACAGAGCAGAAATTTACTCTAAGATTTTAAAATGAAGTCACATGCTTATAGTTGTATATGTTCTGTAATAATGTATACGTAATGAAATATGTGCTGCCATTTGTACCGGGTAAGTCATCCTCATCCTCACTGAACACATTAGGGTTGAATACAGGCAGACTCATGAAGTCATGAGAAATCTTTCGCACTTCAGGAAGGTAGATTGTCATTTGCCTTGGCTGAAGATGAAGCAAACTAGTCTTATAGATCACTGAAGGAAAATAAGGTAAATACACAAAGGAGAAAAGCATCAACAGCTGTTCTGTAAACAAAGTCATGCAAAGTCATGCATCTGCCATTTTTCGGAGAATTTACCTGCACCAAGATTGGCTGGGAGGAAGGAGGCAAGTCCAACAATTTTGAACTTTGTTCCCCAAATGTTAGATGTTACTTGTGCAAGATAATTGTGCTGTGGAAGAGTAGAAAAGGAAAGCATATAATAAAACAAGTATATGTTCCGCTCTGAATAACTAGATTTTATTTATTTATTTTAGACTTTTTCACTTAGCTCTAGATCTAATAAAGCTGTGTTGGCTGTGTCTATAATTAGCACATTTGAAAGTCAGGAGTGTTAAAATGAGAAGGATTTGTCCCCTTGGAAGAAAAGGCTGTAGCGCCCCGGGTGCCTTCTCACCGGTTCTTTTCCTGGGAGCAAGTTATTTACTACTCTTAACTCAAACTGGGTAAAACCATATAAAAAGGACTATAAACCAAGAGAAAAAAATAACAGAGTTTATTCCAGATCAGGTCGTTACAGGACAGAGAAAAATACCTAGAGCTTGCACAGCTGTGGTCTCAAAAATCACGTCCACGAGCATCCGGCAAAGTTTGAGGCCCGAACAACGTCATCTCCTGCTTCTTATAGCTCATGGGTCTATGTGTTGCATCATGTTGATGTTGAGCTGTCCGTATCAGAAACTGACACGCCATCCATGTCTTGAACTTCATGCAGCTTGCTTCTATACTTCAGGGTTACAGATAGCTATCCTCTATCAGACCAGCTCCAAGATGTGCCCATATCCTGTGTACTCTTAAAGACACGAAGGCTGTCCTGATCAGATGACCTCCGTACACACCGTGACATCCACAATGTGAAGGAAGGCCTTCTACTCTGTCTAATCTGACTAACAAAATAACAATGCACATGATGTATAAAAGAATAAACCTAACAGGAGCAAACTGGGATGAAAAAAAAATCTGCAGTTACTGTAGCAAGAAGGATGGCAATTCTGGAATATAATTCCAGAACACCTTAACTTTATGACACCATATTGCCTTGGATGCACGAGAGGAGGGCCATTAGCCAAGATCATAGCTGCCTGCTGCATGTTCCACAAAGTGTGAGGGGCAAATGTATGTATGGTACAGACTAATGCAATGGGATTGCCTTAATCTTAATCTAACTAGAATAAAATGTTAAAAGCCATGCCTAAACTTACATTTGGTAGCGTGCTTATAAATAAACTACTATTTTTTTCACCGCAGAGCCTAAGCGGTATTAAAGCGGGAAACTTGTTTTTTAAAACACTGCACTCCTGAAAGGGCATCTTCCTATCTTGTTTACACTTATATCGTTAATGTAATTATCCCTCAATGTTTCTTTAAGGACTCTGTATGACTTGTATTAAATCATTATGGGCCTACCTTGGTTTACACTCATTTGGATCAAGCAGGGCGATGGTGAACAAGCTGGCAGGAGTAAACACAGCTATTTAGAGCTTAATTTCACTATGACTAAGACTGTGGCTGCTTCCTGAACTAATGTTTGTCAAATACAGGCACTATGTGAATGTCATCGTCCCGTTCTATGATTGTCACCAGAAAGATGGTCTGTTTGGACACTATTGTATTGCATTTCCTCACTTCTATATAAAGGTGTCAATTCAGGTGTGAATTTGGTGACCTTTGCTGGAAGTCTTCTTACTCTCTCTCTCATTTCCTGTCTGCCTACTATGGAAAAACATAAAAAACAAAGCAAAATGAAAGGCTAGTAGAGCCTTAGAAAAAAAGAATTTGGAAGACTAGACAAAAGAGTTTAATTCCAGCTTTCAAAACCATTTCCCAGGCTACAATTAAACTGCATGGCCCCTTTGCAAAAAACTGTATCTGACAAAATTGGAAAACAAAGTCCAGTGGTTTGTTTTTTTAAACTTTTTTTTACTTTTTTGGAATGACTATAACCTGGATGACTGAGAATCGTCACCAGCATGAGATTTTTCTTTTTCAAGTTAATCTGAAATAAACTTTCCTAGTATCTTTTAGTCTTTGTAACAAAAACATAATAATTTCAGGTGATAATCTTAGAATAGCATGTTTGGGTAGAGCAGGTCTCATCATGCAAATGAAGAGGAGGCTGCAGTTTCTGTTAGGGATGATTCTGGATAACATGCAAGTAAAGTTGTCCAAATGTGCAGGTAACAGAGATGCATGTTCTGCCAGAGCATCCACACGACTACGTCAGGAATTCGCTTCCTGTTTTCAAATAAAGCTCCTAAATGTCTCAGCTCAGCTAACAGATAACGTCATAGGAGGTAGACATCTTTGTTTTAACTGTGGCTGGCCTGGTAGCACTTAGATTCTATACAGTCTAACCAACCAACAGGCAGTAGCTTTCCCCTTAAGATTGCTCCTTCTCATTTGCATAATGAGGCAGAAATACAAACAGAAATGGAAAAATGACTGAATAAGAGACGGAAAAAGAACTAAAAAATAAAAGTATACACAGAAATAGGTACATTCAAAAAAGATGTAGTTAAACAGTAAATAAGAACATTAAAATGATATTAGATAAATAAGGTAATTAGTATAAAGTTAAAAAAATTTATAAGCTAATTAAAATATATTTAGGATTTTTTTTTATTGCATAAAATCAGTTACTGCTTTCATTTATGTATTTATTTGATGTCTTCTTTGCTCATTGGATATTATGTCTATGGATTTATTGAGAGGGCTGCTCAATGTCGCAGTAGATAGCACCTTGCTACAAGAAAGTTCTGGGTTCGATTCCTGGCTCGGGGTCTTTCTGCATGGAGTTTGCATGTTCTCTCTGGGTACTCCAGCTTCCTCCCACAGTCCAAAAACATGACTGTTAGGTTAATTGGCTCTCTAAATTCTCCTTAGGTGCGGGTGTAGGTGCGAATGGTTGCTTTGTCTCTGTGTTGCCCTGTGATAGACTGGTCCAGGGTGGACCTCGCCTCTCACCCTCTTGTACACAGCTGGAGATAGGCACCAGCACCCCTTGCAACCCCGCTTGGGATAAGTGTGATGGAAAATTACTAAATTACCTTGAACACACCGTGCGTTTTTTTAATGACTCAGGCAGAAGCTGTGTAGCTAATTAGAGGTTTTGATGAAGCTATATACAGAGCAACCATTTTAGAATGGAACGGTTGCTAATCAAAGCATATTACATACTAAAAATCAGATGAGAAACTGAAGCAAGGCAAAACAATTTGCCCTCCCCATAGTATGACTGAGCCATTTTAAAAAGAAGGAGCACAAATGTTTATCCTTTAAATGCAAATGCATGACAGACATATTCTGTAAACCTTGCAGCCCTATAAGCCATTAGAGGTCAACAAGATGCATGCCCCACTTCATACTTTGTCTCCTAAAACATGTCCCTTCAATTTCACTACTATGCATAGATTGGTCTCAGACTGCTATATTAAATCCTAACAAAATACAGTTATGTTTGTGCTTGTACTCTTATGTATAATATGTTATGTTCATGTTTTAATAGCTTTTATTTATTTTTCATAGAACAGTACCTCTGTGATTCCATCCATTGTAAACTCCCGGCGGGTCAGACTGGGCGACCGAACAGGAGGCTTTTTAGTCAGCAGCCGCGGTGACCGCTGGCCTTCCTGATTGGCACGTGAAAGTTTGGGGGATTTTCTTGAATCCATATTTAACCTTTAAAAATAAGGTATTCAGTTTTATTTTCTGTTCCGTCGTTTCAGTTCATGAATCCACTATTATAATAAAAGAATATGAATGGATCATACATGTGAAAAGGCCAGTAAAATTAGGCAATATGATTTCTGATTATTAGTAACTAGGTTACCTGTTGCCACGAGATAACTTCGGTGACTTCTTCCCCACCCACTCGTCACTCAAGTCAATGTCACTGGAGTCAGAGCAGTTACAGCTGTCTGTGTAGGAGATCATGGGGTTCACACACACTTCCTCTGGAATTAAAAACATAAGGAAATAATAAGCAAACATGCAGTATTTGTGGTGTTAAAACAAACATTTCCATTGCGTAAAGGATTTTAAAAGCCCAAAAGTCTGGTCATAGCATAGGAGATTTCTAAATCAGGCCAAAAAAAAATAATGCTAGACCAGGAAAGAGGCTGCCTTTCTTCTTCATCTTGGGAAATGATTTGAATAGTCTACAAATATTTTTAGTGGAAAAGCATAAAAGTGTTTTTAAGAACCTGTATTTTTATTTCTTACTCATTGTTGCCTTAAGGCTTCTCTGGTTCATTCCTTACCCCCTCACCAAAGCAACATTTAAGTGCATGTATATTGCGTCTAAAAACCTGTAATTGATTATACTGAAGACAGTAACATGTAAAATGAAAGAAACATGGATATCCTGTAGGTTTTTGATTTAAAAGGAAAACCAAAGAAAAACAATGTTAGAATCTTTTTTTTTTTTTTTCAAAGACGGTCTCTTTTAATGTTATATCCTATTTAAAGAACACAAATCATTTAAAAATATGTTATTGGTTGATATTTTTATAGACTAAATATTGTCAAACTTTAAAGTTTTATTGCAATCAGTGAAAAGGGAAAGTAATGTTCATCATTGTCTTTTAAGGTTGTTCATTTGATGACAGAAGGGCAAATGAAATTGGTGGAGTACTTAAATGTGAAAAAAAAGAAAACCTGAAGAAATGTCAGGTAAAAACATACAGCATGAGCTGAGAGACAGACAAACGAAGAATGTGGCAATTAAACAGAGTATCAGCCTCACAGAACAATCCACTAGTAGGAAGGGCAACCAGAGAGCTTCAAGTGTCAACAGAACATGGAATAAAGGAGAGCAGAGAAGCTGAGAAAGGGCTAGTTAAGAGGAAGGGCAGAAGACAAACAAATATGCTGGAACCCTTAAATAATATAAAACATATAAGGATCATAAGATTACATCTGATTGAAAAATGTCCGTCCTTTCGGCTGCTCCCTTCAGGGGTTGCAACAGCAAGTGCTTAAAACCTAACCAAAGACTTTGCACATTTTTCACATCAGTCGCCCTCCCTGCTGTAATTGGAATTTTATCTTAAGCCCCCCTAAAAATATAGACCTTTACTTAGCCCATTAAAACGTAGACCAAAGGTCACGGATTTAATTACTGCATGTTGTCCAATGACAGTGTCTAACTTCACTTGCTCCTCTTCTCCTGTTAATACGGTAAAGCCCTCCGGAGCGTCCGGCTCCAGGCTGCACGTGATTCAAATGAGCCAATGAGCTGTCAGTCTGGGTTGCTGCTGCTGCTACTTTTAGACACAGCAGGCAAACCTGTGGCAAGCCGGGCGATGGGAAAGAAGGAGAAGACCATGAGAAAAAGAGAGCAGAGAAAGTGTGGACTGCTGGAAGAACTGCGGTGAACTGGTGAAAGAAAAGTGAAATGGCGTGCTCAAAGATGACCCTGCACATTTAGAGGATGTTTGGCTCAACCTGCTGCTGTGAAGCAGGATTCTCCACCATGAACAGAATCAACAATAAATCTGGATCCAGGCTCAAAATGAGCATCTTGATATGTGCTTGAGAATGGCTTAGTCTCCATTCAAACCCAGGTTTAAAGCCTTGCAGGGCAGCCTAAAGCCCACTGCCAACATTAAGACAGAAAAAAGAAAGAAAAACAAATAAGAAACGCTCAGTTCAGGGTTTTTTTTTATAAAATATGTGATTCAGGAAATTGTTTATATACCAAACTGAATGACTGTTCTCTACTTCAAAAAATACTTTAGATTTTAAAATGGAAAAATGTATTTCCTTTTTTTTTATATATATATATGTCTTTATTTAAAAAGTCAATGTATAACATGGATGCATAAACACCTGCATTTTATTTCATTGTTAAATTCTGTTTAAAGTAACAGATTATAGCGACAGCCCCGAAACCTGAAGGCTCTGGAGGAGATCTGTATGGAGGAGTGGGCCAAAATCCTTGCTGCAGTGTGTGCAAACCTGGTCAAGAACTACAGGAAACGTCTGATCTCTGTAATTGCAAACAAAGGTTTCTGTACCAAATATTAAGTTTCATTGTTCTGGTGTATCAAATACTTATTTCACACAATAAAATGGAAATGAATGATCTAAAAATCATACATTGTATTTTTCTGGATTTTTGTTTTAGATTCCATCACTCACAGTTGAAGAGTACCTATTATAAAAATTACAGTCTTCTACAAGCTTTGCAAGTGGGAAAACCTGAAAAATCAACAAATACTTTTTCTCCCCACTGTAATTAAAAATGTCTCCGGATCTTTACTGGTTGATGATTTTCTTTTATTGGTCACCCCTGCCTTAGACACATTGCATCTAAGAATATACGCACCCATTTTTTGAAGAATAAAAAGGGTTGATTGAACTTACCTGGCTTACCATCAGTTTTAGGATCCATAATGACAAACTCAGGCCTGAGCTTACTGATGCGCCTTCCTTTGAGTATAGGCACCAGCCCTCCTAAGTATTCCAGATACAGTGTGTAGCAGGGGCCACCTGCCTCAGGACTATCTTCTGCTCGCTTCATGGTGCAGTGCAGCCGCTCATTCCCGGACGTTGGGTAGCTAACAAAGTCACGGATGTTGTTGGGGTCAGGAATTGGAGGCTAGGATAGAGAAAGGAAAATGCATTTAGGGTTTTAAGATGCTTCAGTGAACCATATCTCAATTTGAATAGATTTATAATTACTTCCGCTTGCTTCTCCAGCATCATCAAAGTGACCCAAACAAACCAGTGGAATACAAAAAAGCTACATTAAGGCTTAATACCTTGATGGTTGGTATAAAAGCCGAGGTAACATAAGAGCTAAGGAGTGAGGGCATGTTCAGCTTCCCGACATCCTTCTCCTCACGCAGGGCGCTCGCAATGCCCTGTTGGCACAAGAGCTGGAGGCTGGCCACTCTGTGCTCCACTCGTACCACGTAGAGTGCTGGACCACATGCAAGGAACAGGCGGGAGTCTCTGTGACCCCAGCAGATGGTGGTGATGGGTCTCTGAAACAGTAACCAAGGCATTTCTATTGTTAGAGCAGTTGTTTTTATTAACTTCTGTGTTTTTGCGCAACTATCTCAGATGCCTTACAAAAGTATTGATAGTCATTGGAGTTTTTACAACCCTCTTAACCATCAACGTAAGCACATTTTACTGGGATTTTACTCTGTTGTTGGACCATCATGTTGAGAAGAGCAAATAAAATTGAGTTTTAAAAAAAAAAGACTTAAATATTTGTGTCATTTGTTTTCAGATCCTCTAAAATATGGATGGAGAGCATCAGTAGATTTGTGCATCTTTGCTATTAAATAAACAGTGGAAAGACAAGGAATAAAGTATCTTTGTTCTTCTAGTTCCTTTTAAAGTCTTGATAATAATAAATATAAAGATGTTAAGACTAAAAACAAAAACAGATATCTGTAGATATTCCATGCCTCGCTTTAAAGACATACTAACCTGTGCAGGAGTTTCTAGAGTGTATATGTGTTCTCCTTGTACATTATAGAACTTAACAAGTGCATTCCTCATGATGGGTGCACAGGCTGTGTCAGCTGGAAGCCCGTGTTTCTCCATGCCAGCCACAGCCAAGAGGTCTCCCTGAGAGCACCATTGAGCTTCTACATCTGCAGTAGGAAAAGAGGGAAATTGGGTTTTATATTATTCAATGAGAGAGCTGTGTGCACCAATGCCTGTTGTAATATTGACTCATGTAACATAAGTGATATAGGGGCTGAGTCAAGAAAATATTGCCTTGAGTGGAAATAGTAGGGTTTCTTTTTAAAGGTCTGCAAATCAAAACATGCAATAACTGTTTCAGGACAAGAACATAGTTTGTTGCAAAATAAATTGAAAATGTATATATAAATTTCACAAGGGAGGATCCTACCTTTCAGTCCTGAACGAATAATAGCTGGAGAGAGATCATCATAGTTGTTCATCAAACTGATATCTCCTGATAAGAAGGTGACTGTCAGCAAAGGCTTGACTCTTCTTACTAAAAAGAAATAAATAAGGGTGAACATACAAGCTTTTTCTTTAGATGACACATTCATCTTTGTCAGACTTGCATGAGCAAAGAGAAAAAAGGTTTTACCTAAAGGCAGAATATTGTCATCAGAGTCTGTGTCGCTCTCTGTGCTGTCCTCAACAAGAAAGTCAGGGCAGTTCCACGACATGCTGACGATGCCGTCAGACTCATGTAGAAGCACGTGAGCGAGCATCCGCCCGTGGCAGTCCATCACTATTACCTGCCCATCTGCTGTTCCAAACAAAACCTAAGGGAACGTTGTACAGTAATGAACGTAAATATGTTAATCAAGTGCTGACTTAATGGACAGTCGCTTCTACAAGTGTTCCCTTCTGTTCAACATTTCCTCCTCTTTGTCATGTAACTATTAAAACCTGTGGGGATTTTATTTAATGGCATATGAATTAAAAATATTCAAATGAAATCCAAAACAGCCAATAACCTTTAGCACTCACCTGATTATTAAATCGACTTTACAATTAATATAACATTCTGACTCAGGTAGACTAAATGCAAAACATTTCAGATTTTTATTGTGAAAATTTTGAAAACATTAAATAATTCTCCTTCCTCCTCATTCTATTCTAGTTTTTATTGAGGTCTGTCTCACATTAACCTTCCGTTGAAGTAATTTTGGGAAGGGGCGAAAATACTGGTTAGCTGATTGGCCTATGTTGGTGATAGACGGGCCAAATAAACCAATCAGATCAACGAAGCACATGACGTACTAACAGAGCGACGACGAAAACACAACCACAAGCCAGGCTACTCTTGCCAAAACCAGTCGGGAGAAGAGCAAAAACATCTTTTCCTCTGAGAAAAGCCTCCAGAGCAGTGTTTTGCTCTTCTTTCAGTGAAGAAATACTCTGCAATTCCGATAAAACTTGCTCGATAGCCACGCTAACGCTAGTTTCATCGGCTGAAGCCGCCATGTTCTTTAGACTGAACTGTCGCGCTTCTCGTTGCGTCACACCTCAACCCGCCTCAAAGCCAACGCTGATTGGACGTTCGTTTAGTTAACGGCTCCAAATTTTCTTTAACGGAGAGTCTCCAGACTGATTTGCGAGTGAAACCTTGAAAGCTCGCGAGATCAGGATGATCTAACGAGGCTAGTTTCACATAGCAGTTTTAACAAACTCCATTCCTTGTTCTGAATTGATCTACCCCAGGTTGAAAACTCAGAGTTTCGGTTAACTCAAAGTAGGTCCACTCAAAGTTGAACAAATGCGTAACAACTATGAAAAGCCATCATCACTAATCACCATGACAACAAGAAAAAGGAAGTTACCATTTCATACTACTGGAACTAGTGATTTGGATACAGAACCAAAGCAAAATTGGAGAATGTGTTTAAAATAAAGAGCAATAGCGCTATAACTGCAAAGGAGAGGAAGATTGCGTTGTAGAAGATTGCAGCAAGTTAATGCTGTTTATATTAAGGCTTTTTTCCACACTTATTAAAGGCATTTATCTGGTCTATCTGTTTTTTTATTTATAGATCAATTAAATAGGATTCCTAGTCAGAACTGTAATAACAGATTTGCTAAAGTACATTTTTGGCAGCAGAAACGGAATTTCAGAACGTCAAAAACTTATTTGTATCAGTTAGAATTAAGATTAATAAAACTAGAAATGTTAACACATTTTAAGTGGGATTTCTTTATATTCTTCAGTTTTACTGAATATGTATTTCTGATATCTGAATTACATTTCTTCTCAATCAAAATAATAAAAAAATTATGACCCGTTGCAATAGCAATATGGAGACCTGAAAAACATTTTTAGACATCTAGAATGTTAATTTAATATGAAGAATGACATTTCATTTGAAATGTTGATTTTAACAAGGAAGAAACGTATTTCTGATATCAGAAATACATAATCAAAAAACTAAAAAATGTCAAAATGGTCTGTCATAGTTTCATTTCTGTCATAATAACATTACGAGGAAAAACTAGATTACTGCTCACATAGTAGTGGATCAATGTATCTATTTAGCTACAATCACCTGACAGAGGGTTAAAATGAGGCATATAAACATTGTTCAAACAGCTGGACCTGTGCATCATCTCATGGGGTTCCTCCTTATTTTGATTCTGTCTTCCATTACACTGTAAATTCTAAATTGCTGTTTGCTGTACAGTTGTTTTCAGTGCTGCTACCACACAACAATGTTCTTTCATCGATATCAAGTTCTGTCAAGTACCTGTTAAAGAAATCTGTGTAATGATGGTAATGTGAGGACGGATAAGGTCGTAGATGTATGTGATGGATCGGAAGGTGTAATTGTAGTAGTCCACAGAGATGGCAAAAGTACTCACTTTCCGTACTTGAGTAAAAGTACAGATACTTGTGTTAAAAAATACTCTGGTAAAAGTGGAAAGTACTGATTAAACTTCTTTACTCAAGTAAAAGTAACAAAGTACAGGCTTGTAAATTTACTTAAAGTATAAAAGTAAAAGTAGAAACCACTTTTTTCATGCCGTCGCCTACATTTTAAATGGATGTCTGCCAATAGGACTAGATCTCCGTTGTGTTCATTTTCAATCATCTCGTCGTCCATGCTACTATGCTAACGCCACCAAGCTGCAATGATTTGCCGCCAATGAATACCGCCGAATCTGTCGATGCATCTTGTAGTGGTGCGTCAAATGCAACGTAGATTCCCATCCAATTAGATTGAATTTGGTATTGATGACGTGAAAAATAATAACGGTAACTCCATTGAAATGATTCAAAACTAAAGTAACGAGCCAATTTTTTTAAATGTAAGGAGTAGAAAGTACAGATATTTGTGTAAAAATGTAAGGAGTAGAAGTAAAAAGTCGCCATAAAAATAAGTAGTAAAGTAAAGTAAAAATATCAGAAAAATCTACTTGAGTACAGTAACGAAGTATTTGTACTTCGTTACTTCCCATCTCTGGTAGTCCAATATAACTTTGTGAATATGAATGGACATCTATACGCCGTCTGAGAACCTTCTTCCTGCGATTATTTCATTATCTGCTAATTAATGCCGCTCCTTCCTTGAGTTCAAGGGGTGGGAATACTTTCTGTTGCATACATGCCTTTCTGGTGCTTGTTCAAATATTTTCATTGCCAAGGATATTTTGTTATAAACTTAGCTGCGAGTACCTGCTGATCATCCGGGGTCCAGATACCGCAGGTAATTTGACTCTCCAAGTTGATCTCTGAGGACCAGTGTCTTTGCCCACTGACCGAGCCGACTAACACAAATCCATCCCTGTATGCGATGAGCGCTTGGGTGCCATCATGGGACCAAGTGAAGTCACTCACCTATAGAGAAAGATAGCATTTTCTGTTAGGGTATCACACATGGGTAATCAAAGATTCAAATGACACAGTGTGCAAAAAGAATTCTTTTTAATTCAATTGTATTAATACATGCGTGCACCTGGGCTCCTCTGTCATTTACTAACTCCACAGACCATCTTCCTTCATACTGGATCCAGACAAAAATGCCTCCTTCCATATCACAGGTAGCCAGCTTCTGAAAGGGTTCATTCCAGCGTACCAAAACAACCTGCAAAGAAACCAAAGAGGCTGTCCTTATTTCTAAAAGCACAGGTGGCTTTCAGCACAGGGAAAGTTTCTGGACTAATATGCTGCATAAACACAAGTCTAAAAAAAGACTTGCGGCAGAACAGGCTTTTAAGAGCCAATGCAGTTGGAAGGACACTCAACACACAGGAAGATAAAAATAACATCAGCAGCAACTATGTTCTAATAGCAGATAGATAGAATTTTCCTGGATGTAATACTGTCCACTGAGGAACAGAAAGCAATATTAAACAAAACGTTAATACTATTAGTTTCTAACTCTTACATTTTTTCTAGGGTCACAACACGTTGATGGTGATTTGGCCTAATTTTAAAGTAGAACTGGAAGAATGTGTCTCAAATTAGTTGGTTTCCTAAGACAAAACCAGTTTTAAGGAATAGTCCGCTATTATGACTTTGTGACCCCTTCTATGGGCCTAATTTGTAATCAATATCTTTTTTTTTTTTAAAACATTAAAGTTCAAGCATCAGCCACTAGACCCTAAAATGTCAAAGCAAGTTGGTTAAGTTTCCAATAAAAGCGCAGGGAACACAAAGCAATGCAATGAGTCTAAAATGCAGTCTGATTTGCTGCTGCCCACCTGGATACGCTTTTTTTTTAAAGTTCAGTGACACTATTTGAACTGTTTGAAGTGGGAAGAGGTATATTTTGGTGAGTCAACAAGAGGCCTCCACACTTAGAACTAGGGGTGTAAATAATAATCGTTTTGTATCGATGCATCGATCCAAAAGGCGACGATCCGATGCATCGATACGTCCGTAAGAGAATCGATTCATGTTTTTTTTTTTCCTCCGGTCTATTTTTATCCATTTGCTCCTGGGCGTGATTCTACCTCCCGTGCTGCGGTGGCGCTAAAAAAATGCATAACAATATTACAGCTTTCATTGATTTATGTCAAACTTGAAACTTTGTTTAGCCTGTAAGGTGTAAAAAACATAATAATAAATTTTTTTAACCAATTAATCGATACTGAATCGAATCGCCATGATGGATGTGATTTACACCCCTACTTAGAACCCGGTACCAACTGTTTAAGAATCCCATGATCTTTTGAAAAACCAAACACTTAAATATTAGTGGGGACTTTAGAGCTTCGGTCGATATCGTTTACAAAAATCTAAGCTTTTCCACCGCGTTCAAGTTATACTTCTATTATCAGTAAACTTTAAAATACAGGTGTAGCTCAAAAAGATTAATTTGAACTAAATACCTTTTAATCACATCGGTCCATCACATGGTAAGAACTAAATGCAGTTAAGAATTTAAATGTGGTGAAGAAGACTAACTCTGAATTAAGAAATGCATGAAAATTAGAGGAAAAGCTGCATTTGAGTCTTTAATCTTAACACTGCTGTTGTTGCCAGGGGTCAACCGTTAGTCTGCAATGGTTTTTATAGAGAATAACCCAAAATGCAAAAACTATCCTGTAAACAGAAATCATGTGGGTGAAAATACCTTGATGATGTCAGGGAAGAGCGGGCATACATCTTACAACAGTAGCTCAAATGATTGGCCATTATAACCAAGGTTTGCAGAGCATCAGCTCTAAATACACACTTATAGGTTCTATGGAGAACGGGGGCTATTGTGGCAGAAGACTACACAGGGTGCAACGACTCTCTGCTGGGAAAATGAACCGGAAACTGCTATACTATCATCAGGAAGACATGTGCAGGTCAGATTATACTAAAACTGTGAAAAAGAAAATGTTGAAAAAAGTTTGGAACCATCCTGCTTTGCATCAATGGTTCAGGTTGTTGGTGGAGCTCTGACAGTGTGGGAAATGTTTTTCCAAAACACTCTGAACCCCTTAGTACCAAATGAACACTACAGCCATGATACTGTGCATCCCTTTATAATACACAGTGTCCAATAGCTTGAATCAAATTTATCTCTTGTACATGGCAATGAATCCCCCCCCCCATTTACACTACCCCTCTGAAACCGATCCATGCTGAGTTTGGACCCAGTTTGGATCAGTAAACCGTGCCGAGCTCGGTTCCTTACGACCATTTACACATCGTGCTAGCACGGTTCCTGGTGACGATCTACGGTACTACTGCTCTCTATGACTGAAAACCTAAGCAAATCAAAAAGCCGTTGCCCATAACATTCAGGAAGTTATGTTATAATTATATATAACATATAATTATGATATTTTGTTGTTTGCAGAGAGTCAGGTGAAGAAGGCAGCCTTTGGTGAATTTGCTTGACAGAGTCGGCTTTTGGGAAGTGGATACGATAAACTAATCAGGGCTTATAGACACAGGAAACCACGACAGACGTTGAGGTTCATCACTGCTAAGCAGAATCATCAGTGGAATTAATAGGGAAGCTTGTATTTTTATGAATGTCTGATATTTCATGATTACAGAGGCTGACTGTAAGGAGATGACGTGGTCTGGTCATGCTCTCTTTGTTATCTGAGAGCTGAACCTCAACTGAATCACGCTGAGCCTTACTGATGAACAAGTACTAGTTTAGCGCGGTTCGGTTGTGTCTGGCGCGGTCCGGTTCAGTTTGCGTGCCATTTAGACTCAACAGTTATCTCGGGTACCATGCTCAGACCTATCTCAGCACGGTTTCAAAAGGGTTGTGTAAATGGGGCTAATGAAAAACCCTTTGGACATTGGACAGTTGGAGATCAGTAGTATATGCTAATGAATCTGCATGTTTATTTCAGGTAAAAAATATTCTCATTATTATGTGAATTATATTACTGGGGTAATAACATAACATAACTGGAGTAATGTTAACAATATACACAACTAAACAAATCACCTCACTGTTGTGTCCTCGCAAGTTAAAATTGATTCTCTGTGGTGTACTCCTATCCCTCCTGCAGTGACTCGATGTAAACGTCACCCCAACAACTCCTCGCCCATTCCCCGTGGCGAGCCAGCCCTCCTCGTAGTAGCGTCTCCGGCACACCGGCTTGTCCTTCTCGCTCTTGGGGACCCGGCCCTTCCACGAGAGGCAGAGGATGTTGGAGTCGCTGCACAGGATGGGACCATGTTCCACGGCGGCCAACATCCCTACTGACTGACCAGGCTGCTGAGCAAGACAAGAGAAAGTGACAACTTGGAGATTCGCCAGCATCATTTTGTAATAAATCTTAGAGGCATTTTCAGTTTGTGTTGGAGTGTGGATCTATGTTTACTCAAAATAGCCTTTTCTGGGAAGCTGGGGATATTTTGGTTTGTACACTGTTGCTATTTCATGGTCAGCGGGAAGTGAGGCTGCAGTAAAAGATTAAAAAGTTTGGTTGGAAAATGATTGACCAGAGAAACACGGACAGAGCAATTTCATAGTAAGTTTGGATAAAAAAAGTCCTCAATTCCATTAATTCATACTGATCGGATATTTATTTTTTAATTCAATGATGTTTGTATCATGTAAGCTAGACACATTTACACCCCTTGAGTCAGGGTGGACTAAGGTAAATCTACACACAAGAATAATTCAGTTAAGACGATCCTTGGGGTGAGATTGTTGTATCAAATTCTGAAGATGCAATAAATAGAAAGTAGAAGTTTCAATTCTGCCATGATGTGAAGATGTTCAAATGAAACAAACTTAGAAACAACAAAAACATCCTAATTAAAGTGTTTTGAAAAGGCTTTTATACTTAGTTTTTACAGTTTGTTACAACCCTAAACTGCCATGCATTTACTGGTAGATCAACATAAATTAAAGTAAAATAAAATATAATGAGGTCTTGCCATACATTGGGCTCTAACGCACTAAACTAGTCTTTTCTGGTTTTGGCTCTACATATAGAGGTAGATATGTTAGAAGTTGAAGATGACAGGTCTTCTGCCGCCTTTTACAGTTTTCTTTTCCAGGATTTTCAAATATGGAGCTGCATCTCCGCCTCCTATCAACTCTGTGTTCAGAGTAATGTAATGTGCAGGCGCCATTGTGATCAGTTTTGGTCTGATCTGATCCTGTAACATTAAAGTGGACATAGTTTTATAATCCCTCCTTTTTACAGTTAAATCATTTAGTTGTAGTCTATATAAAGTTAATGTGGAATGCCATGGCCTGAATTCTTCAACATTTTCTTCAGTATTGTTCGGCATCTTTGAGCTTGGACTACACAATTGAAACAAGAAATAAAGATTTAGCAGAGGTCTATGATGCTGTTTATTTGCAAAAGCAAATACTGTGATGCTTTTGTTCAAAAAACATAACAGGGAATAAACAAAACTAAATAGACTCAAATTAGGTCTAAAACAGGATTGCCCATTTAGTGATTAGATTGTTTCTGAAATAAAATGGTTGTGCTAGATTGTATTTAAGAGTATCACAGTAAAGCGATCTCGAAAACAACAAAACACCACGTTTTTCAACATTCTGTGGGTGAAACATTTAAAAAAAATAATAAAAACTTTATAATTACATGTAAAAAACTGAGGAAAGGTCAAAGGAGTATGGATGTTTTTACAGTAGCAGCCATTCAAATTGGCCATTCCCAGTCAAACGCCAACAGCCTACTTCCCTGCAACTCCCAGCAAAATCCCCTCCAACTTCCAGACACTGGAGTGCCACTTTTCACTGAATTAAAGGGTCTGAGCAGGAGATGACGCTTCTCTTTAGATCTCAATGTCCACAAATCATGACAGAGAGAATATTTTAGTACAAAGATTAATGTTTAAAAAGGAACTGAACTGTAGGGGACCAGCCAAGGGCTCATAAAGGAAAGTAGGGAATTTCTGAATGGCTTCTACTGTACAATCTACTAAAGAAGATTCACCAAAAGATAATAGGCAAGCCTCACAGAAAACCAATTAACCAAAACCAAAATGTGTTGTTTTTTTTTTTTTTTATGTCCACTTTATCCAATGTTGGCTCATAATGTAGATTTTTACAAGTACAAGTGAATCACTAAATGTGACAATTACAGCTGATCATAATTAGGGGTGTGCAAAATAATCGTCATGATGATGCATCGTGATTCTAATTTTCGTGATATATTGCATCGATTCTTGACGCCAAGTATCGATTATCAATTTTAAAAAATAAATAAATAAAATTGCATGAATGGTTGGCAAACATCAGCCAAAAACAATTGTAATACAACTTCCAGTCCAGTAGATGTCGCTGCAAATGTGTTGACGCACGCTGCCTTGTGTCACAAGCATTTCCGGCCGCGGGATACTGTGCAGAGTCACCAAAAAACAAAACATGGAGGAGAAAATATTGCAATGCATCGCAATAATTCAAGTATCGTGATGCATCGTGATAGAATCGCATCGTGGCCTGTGAATCGTGATTCGAATCGAATCGTGACTTCTTTGGCAATACCCACCCCTAATCATAATGTACTCGCTGTACTAATATTCACTGTCCATGAAGCAATTCCAGGATTTGTCTCCAGGTTAAATCAGCAATACAGCCTTCTTCATAATAGAGCACGACATTAAAAGGCGTATAGGTTAAATATTTCAAATAACCTAATCTGCTCTCCAAGAAATTATGTTATGTAAGTCACGAGGAGAAAAAAGACTAAACCTTCATTTATATTATTAATTTGACAGCAGTTTGAAATACCTCATAGTTCCTGGGCATGTTGAGTCAAAATGAGTGCTCTGAAGGTGTCCATATTTCCATCCAGATGATCCACCAAAGGGTTAGGGTTGCTTTTCTGTTGGCGCTTATAAAATAACCTATAACAGGGAGGCAAAACGCATCATACAGCCAGAGGATTTCCAGCAACTGATTCATTCATGTACGCAAACATCCAATCTCTCCTTCCAATCTGCGCTTCAGAGTGATCCATTAGAAGATGCGTGCCTCCTCAGATGATAGCCACCCATCCCGCTCAGTTGTGCAATCCTGTTGCAGTGAAGGCAAAAAAGAGGGGGCGTCATTAAAAAAAGGGGAAAAAATCATGAAGAAGGCAGCTTTTAACAAGTAAAGCGATGTGATGTGAAAACAGCGGTGTCATTCAGAGCGTCAATAGTCTGTCTCTATGCAGCGGGAACATACTGCATTGGAGAGCTGAGCCTTTTGGCAGTCTCCATGGGTACTGATGCTGTCTGTCCGCTACCAGGGAGCAAATCACACACATCCTACTGTGCAAATATTGCATAAGACCCTCAATGTATAAGCAGGCAATTAAGCTGAGATATCATATGAAAAGCAATCAGCTGTTTAAAAAAAAATAAAAAATAACTTTTGTTAAAATGTTGTAAAAGCATTGTAGTGAATAAAGGTTCAAAATCACAGCATCTCTTTTAGAAATCTTCCAGAAAGACAGGTTACATCTGATGCTTTCTTATTCCCCTCATATATAACCGCATCTAGTCTGAGTCACACCAAGACAAGCGCTGTGAAAATTAAATATGCGCCTCTCATATATTTATATATCAGTTAATAAATAGCTGTTCGTACCTGACCTCGAAGTAAAAAGACATACATTGATCCTCAGATAAAGCAGAGCGCATAGTGTTGCCAGGCGGTTCTTCTGTGATGCACTTGGTGTGTGTGACTTTAACAGGGGTTGCCATTAAGCAGAAAGGAATGAACAAGAGTTTTAAATGCGGATTTAGCAAATGTCCTAAACGCAAATTGCTTTTAACCTTTTAAGTAGTTAAAAAATAGCTAATTATCATGTTTCATAATTTTCCTAAGAATTGAACCAGTGTGCTAGAACCCTGCTGGTGTTTCCTGCTGAATCGAATGGGGCCTTCCTTCCTAATGGCAACCCCTCATGGCGCATCCCAACCCAGTAAAGTACCTGTCGCGCAGTTTGCAGCTGTTTTCTTGCAGAACTGCACAATCTGCATTTTTTATTTTTTCCTCATATCACTGTAACCTACCTAGTATGGAGGACCAACTCTGTCATATCTAAAAATAAATACAGATAATAAATAAATGCTCAATAAATAAATCAGCATACAATTAATTGCCCCCAAAATACAATAAACAAATAAATTTGTAGGTATAAATGAAATTATACAGTTAGACATAAATGTATATCTCTTTTAATTAGCTTCTGTATTTATTCGCCTTTTTAATAATTACCTTATTTATTTATTATCCGTTATAATCTTCAACTTTATTTATTTATTCCTCATTTTTAAGTATTTATGTATGTGCATGATATTTTTTTTTCTGTTTTATTCTGCCTTTTTATTTTTTTACCCTATTTATTTC